ATCGTGAGGTGGCCTCGAATATCTTGAGGTGGCCTCCGGTATCGTGAGGGTTCCTCGGGTATCGTGAGGTGGCCTCGGGTATCTCAACGGTGGCGCCAACATGTTGCCTGGTCGCCCTTCCTTCGGCACCGGCATCGTCTTTCGAAGGCGACGGCCACTGGTTAGTCAAGAGAGCCGCGTTCCGCACACGCTGCCCGTTGAGGGGGTCCGTGGCGACCAGCTCGGACGTAGGTCATGTTCCATTGGCGATGACCATTGGGTGTGATGACTTCACCCCTATTGGTCCTCTCGGCATTTTGCCCATTTGAGCCTTGATTCAAGCAGAAAAATCTCAACTTCCTCAAGTGACTCTTCCTCAGGTCAACAGAGATAATCCCTAGCTTTTTTTTCCAGAGGATTTATGGAGAACCTTTGGACTTCCACGCCTCGGCGCTAGCTCGTAGCCGCGCTCACCTCGTTTCCTTTGCTTTCTTGCAGACGAAAAAAGGAGTGAAGAGGAAAGCAGACACCACCACGCCGACCACGATAGACCCCATCCACGAGTCGTCGTCCCTGCCCGCCGAACCCAAGTCCACCAAGCTGGGCCCGCGCCGGGAGAGCAGCCGCCCGGTGAAGCCGCCAAAGAAGGACGTCCCCGACTCGCAGCAGCACGCGGCCGAGAAGAGCAGCAAAGTGTCGGAGCAGCTCAAGTACTGCGGTGGCATCATCAAGGAGATGTTCGCCAAGAAGCACGCCGCCTACGCCTGGCCCTTCTACAAGCCCGTGGACGTCGAGGCCCTGGGGCTGCACGACTACTGCGACATCATCAAGCATCCCATGGATCTGAGCACCATCAAAGTAAGCCAGCCGGGGCCACGGCCGGAAAAAAATCCCAACTTCTCCTGGCTTGATCCCCCCGGGAGAAGTTCTCGGCTATTGGCCAAGCTCTTGCTGCCCAACTAGGGTTTCTCCTACGTCAGGTCTCTCTTCCTTGCTCTTACGGGGATGTTTGGGGGGAAAAAAACAACCCGGCGGCTCCTAAGAAAGGCTTTTTATAGAAATTAGAATAGAATTTTTTATAGCAATTTTCCATGACTGCCTAAATCTCTCCGCAATGTCCCTAGCCCAGGAGATGGCCTCAGTGAGCCCAGAATTGCGCCAGCCGGAGGGGTTTTATTTAAAACTTAACATTTTCCATTCTTTATTTTCAAATAAAGCCCCCACGTTGCTGACGTGGCCCGTCCAAATCAATCAGGTTCCCTCTGGAGGCGCGTTTGAGCTCTTCCGTGTCTTTTAAAGTATTTTTATTCTTAAAAATTAACAGAAAAGTTGCTTTTTTTGCTTGAAGCACCCATCCATCATCGAGGTAGCCGCCGTTTCCCCCTCCCCGGGCCACCGCCGCGGTGGCCTCCCCCGTCACGCAGGGTCTTGGTGCCTGAGGTCACCCTTGGCAGCCGCTGCAGGGCCAGCTGCTCCGCTTTCTTCTCCCGTTTCCTGTTTTCCTTGACTCCGAGCCCTCTTTCCCAGATTCCCTCTGGCCGCTCGGAGCCTCTGCCCGAGGCTCCTTTTATAGCCGGCCCCGCGGCACGGGAGCGTGGGAGCGGATTGGGACCAGGGGATCGTGTCACGCCAGGAGCAGGACAGGGCCACCCGTGTCCTGCTGTCACCATTGTCACCCCCTCCAACGGGGCCACATTCCCAAAAGGAGGAACTTCCAGGGAAAAGCGATGCCAGCCAAGAGGAACCGTCTTGTCTTGGTGTCACCTAGACTCCCTTGGTGTCACCTAGAGCGCAGACGGTCTCCTGGGTGCCACAAAGACACCCTGAAGGGCCCATAGTCCTCCTGACCTCAACACGGAGTCATCCTAAGGATCCCGGTGATCCTTATTCCATAAACTGGTTCAAATCCTTCGTTTAGCCCAGACTAATTGCTCCATAGCAGAGGGAGGAACATGGGCTCCGCAGCGCCACGCTCATTCCATCGATGGAATTGTTTGTGCTGTTAATAATGCCCATTTTTCCCTCTTTTCCCCCCGCTCTCTCCTAGTCCAAACTGGAGAACCGGGAATACCGCGATGCTCAGGAATTCGCCGGCGACGTGCGCCTGATGTTTTCCAACTGCTACAAGTACAACCCCGCCGATCACGAGGTGGTCGCCATGGCCCGCAAGCTGCAGGTGAGCCAACGCACGCCCGCGCCTTTCCCTGCCAAATATCCCAACGGAAGAGCTCCGTAGGCTTAAAACATTCCTAAAAGCACCAACACGGTAGGTAACGGCGTCAAAAAATCCCGTCTTTTGGTATCGCGAAGGATGGAATGGGCTGAATCTGCTCGGTTCGTGCCCGCCGCTTTGCGGAAACGCGGTGAGGGTTTTTGGAAGGGGGAATGATCGGAGGATCTTGGAGCAACACCGGAGAACACCACCGAAGATGCTCCGCAAGGAGCCGTCTGCCCACCAGGAATTATCGACTGGACCCCATCATTTCTAACAAGGAATCGTTCCCGGAGAGTCGGGGATGTTCCCTATCCGTCTTCCCGGGCGGTCATGCGGCTTCGGAACAGGGAAGCCACGCGGGCTGCGCTCGGCAGTCGCCTTGGGATTTTAGGGAACGCGACGCGAGAGCCGAATCCGTAAGGACCGCAGAGAGGTTTTCTTGGCCGTTTCCAGGCCTTTTCCAGGCTCAAGAAAAGATGAAGCGGAGCCGAACAGAGCAAAGGGGCTCTTTGAATGACAAGACTTTGGGCTCTAGGAGAGCAGAATAAACCAGCGGGGTTTTGCTTTTCACCTTCAGAAAGGAGGCGGGGAGAGGAGCTGATTTACATCAGAAAACACCCGCCGGCGGGGAGAAACGCCGTGGAGGAATTCAAGGACACGGATGAATTCAAGGACACGAGACCAATTCAAGGACACGCTGAATTCAAGGACGTTTGACTCAAGAAAACGAGGCTAAACTCAACGATCGTCGCCCTGGGCTGGGTTTGTAACCGCTCGAGCCATCCGTTTGCAGAGGAGAAAGGGAAAAACGGGGAAAACACTTCCAGATTTTCCCCAAAGCCTTTAATTTCAAAGCAGCTTGGCCTTGCGGTTGCCTCTCGCCGCAAGGAGCTTTGCGTGACCAAGGGAAATTGGGAATTTGCCAAAACTAAGACAACTCCTTGTCTTCGCTTCCCGGTGGCCGTTGGGAGCGAAACGCCGGAGCCGCAGGGAAGAAAACGGCGCGGGAATTTAAGCAGCGGCAAATGCGGGATCGCGTCCTGGAAGGAGCAATTCCAGCGGCCTTTTCCTCTGGAAAACATCAGCGTTTCCAAGGTGCCGATATTTTTCCCAGAGGCTCTTCCAGAAAGGCTGGACAAACATCTTTCTGCTCCGTTGATAGCACCAGTTTTTATGTTTTTGCCTGGTGGCCGGGCATCAAGAGCCCAAATCCCAAGAAAACAGGCTTCAACACGTGGTTTTTATCCAAGATATTGCCTAAAATCAGCTAAGTTTTATGCAACATGCTGGAGTTTGGTGTCCCCTTGCTTCTCTTCCACCCAATGAGAAGAAAAATGTTTTATCTGACCGTTCTGGGAACGGTTTTGACTTCTGCTTTGGAAATAATTCCTCCAAAATCTCTTTTTTCGGGGGTGACTTTCCATGGGGCCTTTCCTGCTGGAAAGATGTCCTCAGAATTTGCAGCGTTTTGGCTTGGATTCCCTTCCGGGAGAGGCAAGTTGACACAAGTCAAGCATGGAGCAAAGGAAAACACAGAGAAATCAGGTTTGCACCTGCGTCCTTAGGGCTTTTGGGACCTGGATGCTGCTGGTTTCCCTTTGAGGACCCCATCCAAGCCTTAAATATCCTGAAAGTCCCCTCTTTATCACGTACGTTCGGCACCAGGACAAGCGGAGCTGCCAGACATTCCGTTATCCGGTTTAAGAACGGATCAGCAGAGAGGATAAAACTTGGGCGACATTGGAACAGATGGAGAAAACCCACAAAGCTCCCAAGCCGTTTGCCTCTCATTTAGGTCGAAAATGCAGGTTTTAACCTCACCTTAGCCTACGTTTTCCCCCCCAAAACCCTTCTGGATGCGGTCAAGGCTGCAAACGGGCGTCCGCGATGGCGTCGCGGTCTTGCGTCGCGGTCTGAGTTTCCAGGCAGCCCGCGAGGCCGTTCGCAGCGTGGCCGGAGCCCGCATGGCCCTTTCCCCCGTTGTTTTTGCAGGACGTGTTTGAGATGCGCTTCGCTAAGATGCCCGACGAGCCCGAGGAACCCGTGATCCCGGCCTCGTCGCCCGTGGTGGTGCCGCCTCCCACCAAGGTGGCTCCCCCTTCGTCGAGCGACAGCAGCAGCGATAGCTCCTCGGACAGCGACAGCTCGTCGGACGACTCCGAGGAGGAGCGAGCTCAGCGATTGGCCGAGCTCCAGGAACAGGTAACGCGGCCGTGCCGGACCCGCCGGCGTCGCGCTTCGCCGCTTGGCGCCATCGTCTTCGGTTGCCTCAACGCCGTTGACTGCCTTGACGTAGGATAACCCGGCGTTGCCTTCCAAGGGCTGTAAAAGCCACCACAAAGGGCTAGCAGAGCGATGCGGCCTCAGTGCTTTGTAGAATGATCCTTCCAGACCCTTTTAGGACCCCCAAAATGCTCCTAAATCACCTAAATTAACAACGTGGAGCATGACTTCGCGTTGCCCTTGCAGCTCGCGGCGTTGTTGGCCAACACAAGCCAAACAAGCGGCCTCCTGCGATTAACAGGGAGGAATCCAGGGCCAAACTCTTCCAAAGAGCTGGCTGTGGATTCTTAAATACCCCCAAAAATCCCAGTAGCTGGAAAAACGGGCTTAATATTAAAGCATAGGGGTGCAAAAAGAAAACTAGGAGAAATGGGAGAGAGCGAGGTGATTAATGTGGACGAGGAGGAGGTGCTGGGCAAAAGTATCTTGATTTTTGTGTGTCTGCCTCTCAGCTTAAAGCAGTGCATGAACAGCTTGCAGCCCTGTCGCAGCCCCAGCAGAACAAACCAAAGAAGAAGGAGAAAGACAAGAAGGAGAAGAAGAAGGAGAAGCACAAAAAGAAGGAGGAGCTGGAAGACGCCAAGAAGAGCAAAGCCAAGGAGCCGCCGACCAAGAAGGTCAAGAAAAGCAACAGCAACAGCAGTACCTCCAGGTGGGTCCCGTCGCGCTCCGCACGTTGCCGGCCTCGAATCGGGAGGGCGAGACGCGGAGAACCGCGCGCTCGAAGGGGCCACCAACATCTCGGCACCCTACTTGGGGCCAGGAAGAGTTGGTTGACACCACTAGGCCACCACGAGGTGGAATTAAGCACCCTGAGATGTTTCGACCTTCCCATGGATGCTCCTAGGGCTCGCTCCTTCCCTTGGCTCCGGTTTGCTCCCTCCACCCCACGCGGTCGCGGCCGTTTCTAAAACACAGCAGTGTTGACATTGGGGACATGAGATATTTGGGACATGAGACATTTAGGACACAAACCTTGAGTTTTTTGCGCCTTGTTCCACTTTTCCATCCCCTCTAATCCTCTTAAATGCTCTTATTACCCCCAAGCAGCAAGAAGGAGCCCGTGGCGGTGAAGAACAGCAAGCCCCCTCCAACCTACGAATCCGAGGAGGAGGAGAAGTGCAAACCCATGTCCTACGAGGAGAAGCGCCAGCTCAGCTTGGACATTAACAAACTCCCGGGGGAGAAACTGGGCCGAGTCGTCCACATCATCCAGTCGCGAGAGCCCTCGCTGAAAAACTCCAACCCGGACGAGATCGAGATCGACTTTGAGACGTTAAAACCCTCCACGTTGCGGGAGCTGGAGCGATACGTGACGTCGTGTTTGCGGAAGAAGCGGAAACCGCAAGGTACCGTCGGCTCCTCGAGGGCGTAGATAATAATCCAGATAATAATATTCAACAAAATCCCTCATAAAGGGGATATAATACATGTATCTTACACATATTAATATATTTGCGACCGATTCGCACCGTTTTTTAGCACTTAACAAACTCTTGCTCCAAATGATGGGGCGGTCAAAAGGGATTTGACCCTCTGGTCTTGCCCGTTAAACCAAGTTTTGGTGTGGAAATAGATAAAAACGGGCCAAACCTGAGTTTTTCCACTTACCCACCCAAGAAAAACATCCCGCTTCCGTTTTAATTAGCGAGATCTAGAAATGAGCCACAGTGCAGCAGCCCGAGCACCTCTTGGGCCTGGTTTTCCTCATAATTTACACCTATATCATTAAAATAAAGGGCAGATCCGTGCTTTTCGGGGCTGACCGTGTGGCGCTCTCGTTGCAGCCGAGAAGGTGGACGTCATAGCCGGCTCCTCCAAGATGAAGGGCTTTTCCTCCTCCGAGTCCGAGAGCAGCAGCGAATCCAGCTCCTCCGACAGCGAAGATTCAGAAACAGGTTAGAACGTGGCTTATTTAAAAGACTCAGTCCTTTTTTTTTTCTTTTTTTTTTTCTTTTTTTTTTTTACCTGTTTTCTGTATAAATAAATACCGTTTTCATTACCGGCTTGGTCTTTAATTTTTATCTTTATTTTTCTTCTTTTTCCTCCCGGGGGTTTCGGAGGCAGTGTCGGTTCCGGCTCTATTGAACGGGCGAGAGGGTTTGTTGTTGTTGCTGTTTGCTTTTCCCTAAGTTTTCCTTTCCTCCGGAGCCCAACTCCGGTATCGCTTTGCCCAAAATGAACCAAAATTGTGGATTTTTGAGCAAGCTGCTGTGTTTTTCCTCCTAGGAGGTCTAGAGCGTCACCGGAGCAGTGGGGAAGGGTCACGATGAGCATTCGTGTGGTTTTTTTACGGCATCAGGCAGGAATCTCTTGGAAAAAACAGGGATAACCATCCGGGGCGGCATCCGCCCGGCTTATCCGTTTGTTTTTCCCGAATATGGAGCTCAGTCTTTCCCTGATTCCAGGCTTTGGAGCTGCCCGCCCCTTCTTGCGCCATCTCACCTCCCGTCACATTCCCACCGCGGGCTTTTCCATAGGGAAAACCCGGTGGGGTGACAAAAACTGGTTTCTCCTCTGGTTTCCAACTACACCGGGATGCGGGAAGTGCGGAAAGCAGCTTTTCCTCTTCCAACACATCCCTGTTCCTTTCCCGGAGAGGGGGGATGAGCTAGGGAAAACACCCAAGCAGAGATTCCAGATTATCCCGCTCCTCTCCCAAATTTTGCGCCGTCGTTTTCCGATAGGATCCGGCAGCTCACGAGGGTCTCCAGGCGCGCGGCAGCGTCGCTTCCTCTTCCCTGGCTTTGGTTCCTAGGAGCGGGAACACTTGGATCCCGGGTAAAAAAACCCGGAGAACTGTAGTCAAATCCATTGACACTAAGGTGTGGAAGTGACATTAGCTGCCTTAAAACTGGAAACTGGGGGGGAAAAACGCGCTTTTAAGGCAGCTTTCCAGCTTATTCCCACCACAAAACTCTGGGATGACCCATCCCTTTTCCATTTCCATGATTTTTCCGTTGCTTTTCCGCAGTCC